ATGGTGCCTTTCTAACCAATTATACAAGGTTCAGAAGACGGTGGACGAATAACACTGCCAGACAGAGTGTCTCTGCAGAAAAGACAGATTCTAGCAGAAATTAGAGGAAAGAAGCAAGAAGACGAGCATACAGCGGACAAGGGCCGGAAGGAGGGTACCTGAGACCCCGGGAGACTCCACGGGAGGAGGCTGCGGAGGAGAACTGGAGGCTGAGACCACCGGAGCAGCCCGGAGACCAGCAGCAAGGGTAGGTGGATTTGCTGTTTACCCTCCCCTGCATTTGGGACTGCTGGTGGGCTCCCCCGCAGGTGGAGAGACCTGCGGACACCAGCCCAGAGTCAGCCGCCGCCAGCCAGCGGTGAGCCTGTAGCAGACGTGGCACCAGCTTCCCAACTTCCTCCGGGCACCTCCGTGTGCACAGACCTGAGCCACGCGGCAGGTGCCATATTGCCTCCTCCTCCCCTCCGCCGACCCTACCCGCGGCTGTCCAGAGAGACAATACAGCCACCAGCCAGAGGCACTCCAGGGAATGGGACCTTCCCTTTTGGGACCCTACAGCTGACTCAGGGAAACTCAGACTGTGAGCTCCTACCCCCACACCTCCCAGGTGCTGTTGCACGGTGTTCCCAGGAAACGGTGCTGACTCAGAGGCTGAGAGACATAGACACAGCTTGGGCTCCCTGTGGGTGAATTGGGACCGGAAATCCGCTCCCTGGTGGGAAACAGTTTGAACTGGGACCCAAGGTCGGACCTGCAGACCAGATCCCCTGCACGCAAGGGCTAGCATTGCCGGGCAGCCAGAAGGGTTATACGTGAACAGCCTACTGAAGATGTGTCTGCTCCAGGGCGGATCGGCGTCCTAGAGGGCAACCCTCCTCCCCAGGAGGAGGCCGTGCGCCCAACACAGGTGCGTTCCTGTGCAAGGAACCTCCCTGCCGGCATCACACGTCCGGGGAGGCTGGTGGCTTGTGGTCTGGCCTGCTGGCAGAGGCCCAGGAGTAGCTGTGGAGTTGGGGAGGGGGAAGAAGTGAGGCCCGCTCCAGACTGCGGGTCTCAGACAGCCCCGCCCCACACCCAGACTTTCTGGCTGAGCGGGAACATTCCAGCCCTGCCTGACAGCTTTCCCTGGAAAGCAGACAACGACAGAACTTTGACCCCTGCTAACAGCCTGAGGGCAGGCTTACACAAAATCAACAGCATAGCCTGTTCCTCCAAGCAAGCACCACCTACTGACAGGGATGGCATCCTGCACAGCCTTTTCACGGCACCCACTGACTCAGTATATAGGGAGTGGTCCATTTCACCCACAGACACCACTTAACACCTCAGAAACTAAACAAGGTGTGTGAATACCCAAACAATAACTTAAGGAAAGAAACAACAACTGATCGACATGGGAAGAAATCAGCGAAGAACTCAGGAATATGAAGAACAAATGGAAAACACACCCCCAAGAGGAGCACCAGCCCCTAGAAATGGACACCAACACAAAATCAGGCAACCAATATGACAGGAGAGGATTTCGTATGTGGATCATAAGAACACTCACCCAGCTGCAACAACAACTCAATAACCAACACAAAGAAACCACAAAAAAGTCTCCAGGATATGGGAAAAGAAATAGACACAATGAAGAAAAGTGTAACCGAACTCCTGGAAATGAAGACTCAATTCAAGGAACTACAAAATACAGTGGAAAGTCTCAAGAACAGGGTAGATGAAACAGAAGAAAGAATATCAGAGCTTGAAAATAACGCCCTCCAATTAAATAAATCAGTCACAGAAATAGAGCAGAGAAACAAGAGAAAGAGCAAAGCCTACAAGAGCTGTGGGATTATGTGAAGAAACCAATGTAAGGGTCATAGGTTACAAGAAGGGAAGAAGACAACACTCAAGGGTTGGACAAGCTGTTTGAAGATATAATAGAGGAAAATTCCCAGGCCTTGACAAGGTTCAAAAATTAAATTCTCAGCATATTATTAGGGCACAAACTTTTAGGTTACATATATTGCCTTTGTCCCACCCCAAAATAAAACATATTTTTAAAAATTAAATTCTCCTTCTTGCTGGTCTTTCCTTCTCTTTCATCATGTTTAAACTGAACATGTAGCAATGTGCCTGGGACAAAGAGGAGTGGCTCAATACATATTTGTGCAAAAATGGATAGTAAGGAAATTGTATTTCATCTTTCCAAGAGAAACTCTGGGATGAGAGAGAATCCAGGCAAGCACTGAGCTGCTCTCTGCAATGATTTTTGTCAGATTATGTCATGACAAAGGGACATATGTGAAAGACCAGACCCCAACTAATGCAGACCAGACCCCAGACCCCAACCCCAGATGCCAGACCCCAAATGAGGCAGGGTAATGGTCTTATGGGAACCAGCAAGCAAAGTAGCCAACAAAGACACTGCTTTCATCCTTCATAATTTGTATTCAAAACAAATTTAAAACAAGAATTTTTACCTTTCTGTAAATATGAGTGTAAAGCTTCACAAAAATCCAGGATGTATTTGGTGTAGAAAAAATAGAAAAGGATGGACCCCCTCCATAATACTCTACAGACACCACCCTTCCTGGTGAGATTACTAAATGGAATGATGTTTACGTCTAACCATAAAGGAAGACTTGAAACCAAGTTTCCCTGTGCAGCCATCAGCCCTGCTTTCCAAGGAACACCCCATGGGAGTTGAGGGGACAGTGGGACAGAAAGGAGGGAACCTGCCCACTGTTTATGACTGGGAGAGGACAACAAACATGTAGTATAAGCCCAGACTGACTGTGTCACTGTGGACCCAAAGTCTGATGACTCCACAGTCACTGCGTTGCTAATTAGAGTGTTGTGCAGCAAAACATACTGTAGCCTCCACAACAACTGGATCCCAGACAGTGTGCGGAAATCCCAATTCATAGACCATTGACATCCAACTGAAAACTATGTGTCAGTGTCTAATGTGGCCACACATGAGTACTTGCATAGTACGTGGAAATCAAGTATGACTTGTGATACGCATCACAAGAAAACATGGATGAAAATATGCAAAAAAGAACCTACACATCACCCCAGAAATGACAATATCAGGTCAAAGGGAAAACCTTCAGGATTCTCCTACACTTGACCACAAGAGGGCGCACATGCACAACACTGGCCCCAGAAGGGGCTGGTGTGTTGCTGATAACAGTGCCCAGGACAGCAGACTGATTCTGCCTTGATGAAGATGATAATGATCACCACTTCTTCATTTCATTTTGTAGCTCATACTTTGCTTCCAGCAATTATTTTACACCTCTTCCTGCAGCCCATTCATCTAGCAGACCCTGACAACACAGAGTCAATAACACCCATGGAAACTCCTAGGGTTTAGCTAAAAAAAAGTTACCCCTATGACAGTGTCCACACAGCAGAGTGTACGTCTGGGGAAATGAATCTAAAACAAATGAAAACTTAGAAAGAAATGTGAGTAGGAAGGTCTGTCTATTAAAAAAAATAACGAGTGAGGACTGGGAGTCTGGAGTGTGGTCTGGTCATTGAAGGGCAGCAGGAGGACAGGGATCAAGGTGTTCTCATCAAGGTGAGAGAAAGGTCACCACCTGCTCATCCTCCCAAGGCCAGTGGCAATGGACTTACAGACATGTAAGTCAGATCCACATTTGCTCATACTCACAGCCACCTCCTGGCTCCAGAGACAGGATTGAGCAGATATATCTCCCCAGATCTTCAGGAACTGTGGACACAGGCTGTCAATGAGAAAGAGGACAGTGGAAAACAATGGTATTGGTTACATGTGTGCCCCATCTGTTCTCAGGAAATATTTTCCAAGTTTCTCTGATTTGCTTTTTTTTTTTTTAATACCTATGACTTCTAGAAATATTTTTCCTGTGCATATTGTTTTCCAAAAGCCCAATTCAGACTAACTCTATGCAGTCATGTATGGCTGGGACTTCTCTGATATTCCCTCTCTATCCGCTACCCTCTACTAATGTTTTACCTTTGACAACAATCAAAACATAATCCCATTGATTAATCAATCATTAAAGGAAAACTTTGAAAATATCCATTTTGAGAAATAAATACTGGGTCAATGTAGTCACCTATTCTTCAGCTGAGGCACCACAATTTCTCATTCTAGGAAAATATGTCCCAACTGTGTGGGTCTCAGCATGGTACCAATACTATCTCAACCTCCCAAGTCAGAAGTAGTTAGTGAATTCTCTACATCTCCATTGTATTTCTGAAACATTCTAAGTGGTAGATAATGCTATTCATTTGTGTAAACAATTGATTTCACAACAGCTATGCAATGGTGGACGTGACTTTGCTTAATAACTCCCAGCCCTCTTTTCCTATCTCCAGTATGTCAACATTCCAATAGTAAATGATCATGATAGACACATTCATTTCAGTGATCATCATTTATTTCTTCAATGTTCTCTATTTGGCAAAAGGTTTTAGGTAAAGATAACTATTGGGTGAAAAATTCAGAGTCAGACAGTGTCCCTGTTCAGTTGTCCTGCTATAACTAAATGCCACAGACTGGGAAACTTATCAACAATAACAGGCAGAGTTCTGGGTCTTGGATGTCCAAGATCAAGACACCATCAGATGCAGTGTCTAATGAGCTTTGCTCTCTGTGAGTTCAAGATGAAATTTTGATTCTGTGCCTCCACATGTTGGAAGGAGATAAGTTAAAAGGAGACCAAATGAGAGTTATGTCCTCATGTTGCAGAAGAGGTGGAAGGAACAGGCAGTGCCCTGAAGACTTTTGTCTGTGGGCATTAATCTCACACATGGGGGCAGAGCCCTCCTGATTCAATCACTACCTAGAAGGCATTACATCTGTTACCATCACCTTAGGGTTTAAGGCTCAACATGAATTTCAGAAGGACACGAACATTCAAACAGTAGCAGACAGGCATAGTCTATTGCTGACAAAGTCAGCATATTACCACATAGTAAGAGTGACCAAACTGCCTTGATTAACTTTGATAAAGATTTCCTATAAAAAGGTTTTCATCGGCCATCTTCATTTATCATCACCAAAAATGACATGTTGATATTACATATTATAACTTCTGATACTATGCACAGATGAGAAATCCTTTCCATAATATTCTTGACAAAAATGAAAAAAATAATATGAAAATGAAAAAAATGAATATAATCAGTGAAAAACATCAAATAAATCTGATTAGAGGGTCATTTGTCAAAATAACTGGCCAGTATAACTCAAAAGTTTCAAAGTATTGAAAAACAAACAAAAACTTAAGAACTATCACAGGTTGGAGGAAATGAGGGATACATGAAAACTAAATGCATTATAGAATCCTGGAATTTTACCCCAAAACATAAAAAAAGACATTAGTGTAAACCTAAGTGAAATTCAAATATGAATTGTAAATTAGTTAATAGTATACGATCAATAATAATGTGAAAGTTATTTAAAGTGCTCACAAAATAAAACTGTCCCAAAGGAATTTTATGTTAAGCAAAACTATCCTTCAGAAAGAAAAAAGAAGGGATGCCATGACTTACAGATATGCCCTAAAATTAATTCAAAAACAAATCCTTCAGAATCACGTTATATTACGGGGGACAGTAACTTGAATGATTCAAATGGAACAAAGGCCTCACAAATAGAAACGAAACATGAAAGAAACATTAAAATCCTTTCTCCTACTTAGACAGCATGGAATTTCTCTGTATTAGTTTCATCCAAACACAGGGGACATATATGTCACTTTGCTCACAAGAGAGACTCTCATCAACCTGTTGTTTCCTTCCACTCCACTGCACCCACCAGGGCATTTGCATACTGTCCCCTGGGGAGGACCTGCCCCTAGCAGTCTGAAATAAAAGCTCAAATCTAATCTTCCCTAGACTGACCGGGACTCCTCAGTCCAACTTCTCAAAATGAGGCTCCCTGCTCAGCTCCTGGGGCTGCTGGTGCTCTGGGTCCCTGGTAAGGACAGAAGGAGATGAGGAAGGAGGACGGGGTGGGAGAGTGAGCTGTGGGGCCCCACTGCCTGCCACGTGTGCTCTGTGCATGTGTTAGATGTGCACGTCTTGTCCTCTAGGATGGGACATGGCAGATTTACATCTGAGAGAGTGAGGATGATTCCAGAAAGAGTAAGGGCCGGTGCTCAGGTGAAGACTTTGACACAAAAAGAAGGGAAGCGTATAAAGGAATTCTGTAGGCTCCTTTGGGTTTTGAAACTCTCCATTCTTTTATAAAACTGTAAATTTGGGGAATGTGATTCAAACCCTAGAACACACAAAAAATGTAGCCTGAAATAATTATCAAAAGAAAATTATTAAAAAAGCCTCTAAAGTTTCTATATAACCTTGTACTTCTCTCTTGTTATTTCAGGATCCAGTGGTGATATTGTGATGACCCAGACTCCCCTGTCCCTGCCTGTCACCCCTGGAGAGCCAGCCTCCATCTCCTGCAGGGCCAGTGAGAGCCTCCTGGATAGCGATGGAAAGACCTATTTGTATTGGTTCCTGCAGAAGCCAGGCCAACCTCCAAGGCGCCTGATTTATCAGGTTTCCAACCGGGACTCTGGGGTCTCAGACAGGTTCAGTGGCAGTGGGTCAGGGACAGATTTCACACTGACAATCAGCAGGGTGGAGGCTGAGGATGTGGGAGTGTATTACTGTGCTCAAGCTACAAAGCTTCCTCGCACAGTGATACAGCCCCGAACACAAACCTCCATGCTTGGGGTGGCCCAGCTGCCCAAATGTGTTGTTTGTCTGGTGACAGCTCAGCAGAATCTCTGGCTGTATAAGAGGATGTAGGTGGAGAACTCAGGGCAACAGGCTGCATCTGAGGTGTTCATTACATGAGTGTCTTGTCTATTAGTCAGGCAAATCCATTAATAGCTGTTAGCTGCAACAGCCCTGACATGGTGTAAGTAGTAGAAAAATAAATAGGATCCCAACGCCTTCTGAGTAACTAGACTTGACTGAAGGGAGAACCAAGGGCAATCTCATCCTCATCCTCCTGCTTTGCCTACATTTGACAATGAGACTCAGTCAGCAAAATAGCCAGACAATTAATGTAGATTTGCAGCACTATGTGTGGAATACGTCTTGATGTTTACCAGTTTTATGTATTTTTAAGAATATAATATTTGGTAATATTCAGAAATTGCTAATTTCAAACTATCCCAAATTCCTCATTCTCCTTTCGCTACTTACCTCCATAAAGAAGGTGGTGAGAGCATCCTACACAAACGGCCCACAGGAGCACCTGGTTGAGGACAATTAGTAAAAATCTTGGTTTTTAAGCCTCTAAATAGACGTTTATAAATTCTTGGTGTAAGATTGAAGACTCTAAATCTAAAACTCTTTTGTTTGCTTCAATTTCCTCTTGCTAATAGACAAAGGTAGTTCTTGATATTTTGAAAGCTGAGTTTTAACAAAAACCCTGGAAGACATATTTTATAGAATGTTCATCATGTACCACTGAAATAACACAGAATAATGTGAGTTTTTCTTTCCCAACAGTTAAGAATTTTCAGACGATGGGCAGACTGCAGTTGTGGGAGTATGATGTGAATATAGTAGAGGTCAAATATGGTCAAATCACCTGCTCGTCCGAAATGATTGTCTATTTCAAGACAAGGGATTCCATGGTAAATGGAATTAAAGTTTTATTCTTCAGTCAAAATACGAAAGAAAGAAAGAAAGAAAACGAAAAACATGGTTTATAGCACAGAATTTTTAACACTTCCAGAGAATGACAAATCTTCAGAGTATTTTCCTACATGGACATTCACAAGGGAGGACACATCTAGTCAAAAATCTACTGATTTCACTGCTACAATCAACAGTGGGGAGACCAGAGATATTGTAACTATAATTGTATTCTTAACCAAAAAGGCCAATAAACAAAGAAAATAGTTTAGAAAAGAATTTGTAAAACAAACTATAAAAAGTCTACAATATACAATCACAAGAGAGACACGAGTCTCAACCAAATTCTATTGATATTTCTCTTGCAGTCACCAATGTCCATCCTGGGGACACTCACACACTCCTGTGAGAAGGACAGTGACAGTGACAGTGTGACGGCCCCAATCACAAATCTCCCAGGAGGCTCAGCCTCTTGCTGTGGCAGGAGCAGCAGCTGTGCCCAGAGGACGAGTCCAAGCCAGGCTGGCGCAGGTGGAGGCGGCTGCAGAGCCTTGGGGACGGGGCACAGAGGCCTCATCAATGGGCACCGGTTCCTCTTCTGTAACAGGGGACAGGGCCCTCTAGGACAGCGTCCCAGAGCCTCTTCCTCCCCACTCAGGGCTCTCACACCCACAGACCCTCCAGGCAGTGGCTGCCTCGTCCTCCCTGGAGCAGCCACTCAGGTTCCCTGCTGCCCTCATGGCTGCACAGTTGCTCAGTGATGCCACCGGGAGGGGACACTAGTGTGTTGTGATATCACCTCCTGCCACTGATGAGCTTCAGTGCCCTTCCTGCCTTTGCCAAGTCACCACCACTCTTACCAGCCCTCAGGAGAAGGGAAAGCTGCCTGCACTGCATGATTTGGGTTTTGAGTAAATTAAATCTCACAAGAGTCTCACATGATAATATTGTCTGACAATCCTACTTTGACTTTCCCTTTCTTTCCATTCTGGATCTAACAGAGGTTATTCTTTCACCCCTTACAGTCTCTTAGTAGTTATGCACAGTGTGAAGTGACTAGATGTGGCTGCTGGCTTATTATGTTTCTTTCTCTGTACCAGGCTGCATGGTGCTTTGTTAACATAGTGGAGAGCAAGCTACATTTTTAGCATTAGGAATATTGTTCCTTGACTCTTTACACAGCTGTACCCACCAGGGGATTTGCACACTGTCCTCTAGAAATAACCTTTTCATATATGCCTGAGATAAAAGCTCAGTGCTGACCTTACCTTGACTGATCAGGACTCCTCAGTCCAACTTCTCAAAATGAGGCTCCCTGCTCAGCTCCTGGGGCTGCTGGTGCTCTGGGTCCCTGGTAAGGACAGAAGGAGATGAGGAAGGAGGACGGGGTGGGGAGAGCTCTGGGGCCCTATTGCTTCCCATGTGTGTTCTGTGCATGTGTTAGACGTGCACATCTCATCCTCCAGGATGGGACATGTGATTTAGATCTGAGAAGGTGAGGAAGGTTCCAGAAAGAGGAAGGACCTGTGCTTGGTGAAGACTCTGACACACAGAGAGGAGTATGATATATGAGAATTCTAGCAGCATTTGTGTACTTTGTTAACCCCAGTTCTTTTGGAAATGGGTGATTTCTGGGGTATGAATCAAAATCACACATATGAAAAATTATTCAGCCTGAAATAAATAATAAAACAAAAATTATGTAAATTGGTCTTAAGATTTGTACAGAACTTTGCACTTCTCTCCCTTTATTTCAGGATCCACTGAGGATATTAGGATGAATCAGACTCCACTCTCCCTACCCGTCACCCCTGGAGAACCGGCCTCCATCTCCTGCAGGGCTAGTGAGAGCATTCAACACAGTGATGGAAACACCTACTTGAATTGACATCTGCAGAAACCAGGCTGGTCTCTATGGCCCTTGATCTGTTTGTTTCCCACCGAGTTTCCTGGGTTCCTAGAATGGTTCCGTGACACCAGGTCAGGACAGATTTCATGCTTAAAATCAGAAGCATGGAGGCTGAGGTTGTTGGGATTTATTACTGCCAGCAAGATCTGTAGTTTCCTCACATAGTGACACAGCCTGTAACAGAAACCTCCTTTGTTGAATTGTGCCATCTGCCCTAATTTTCCCTTCCCTGGGGAGAACACAGAGTATAGTCTCTGAATCTGTGGGAGAGGAAGATGTTGGAGACATCAGGAGACTAGGTCGCAGCTGGACCATGGGTGTTCTGGCCACACCTCAGGCGCCACACTTAAGACCCCATCTGTAGTGACAGCCTCAGAACAGCAGAACCTGCAACAGAATGGAGTGGGGTCAAGTGCCCTCTGAGCAAGCAGAGATGGGGAGAGGAGAGCTGACTCGATCCTCTGACATAAAGCTCAAACCTCTCTCCTTTGCATGCATTTTTTAGTTACATTTCCTCAGCATAAGAGCCACACAATTGAGGCCAATTCATGACAATTCAATATTGGCACATTTTTTTATATTCTTTTGGCTTAGCAATTATGAGTCCTATTCAGCAGGAAAATGTTTGGTGAGGTTAAGATACTGTCGGTCTCCCCTTGGCCACTTTTGCCTGGCACTTGTTCTTAGTACACTTTTTTCTCCAGGACCAGAGCAGGCACAGGATTCCATATGACTGCTATTAGGGGCAGTAGCCAGGATGATCATGTCACATTCTTGGTTTTGCTATTAAAAAGTAGACTTTGTTAAGTTGAATAATTTAAACTAGAACCAAAAGTCTCTGCACAATCATAGTGAAAACACATAAAAATGAACAAAAAATTTGTTTTTCTGAATTCCAATGCTACATTTTAAAATGCAACCAAAAGCACTGGATGAATTAGAGAGCATGAATTTGCATAAATATAAGGTCCTGTGTGTGTTAGTCCATTTTGTGTTGCCATAAAGAAAATACCTAGGCTGGGCAATTTAAACATTATGAAGATTTATTTGGCTCATAGATGTGCTGACTGTTTAACGAATGTGGCACCAGATGTACTTCTGGGGTAGCTCCTCTCAGCTTCCAATCCAGGTAGAAAGTGAAGGGCAGCAAGCACCTCTCATGGTGAAACACAGAGCAAGAGAGGGAGGAGGTGGTGCCAGCCTGTTTTAAACAAACAGCTCTCATGTGAACCAACAAGTGAGAAGTCACTCATCCCATGGACGGCCAAGCCTTTCAAGAGGGATCTTCCCTGATGATCCAAACACCTCCAACCAGGCCCACCTCAAACACTGGGGATCAAATTTCAACATGTTATTTGAAGGAGCCCAATACGCAAACCATATCACTGTGAAGTCAATTATTTCCCTCTGAAAGAGATGAATATTGAGACTTTGGGCAGAGGAAGTAAATCAGAAAGCAAAGCACATGGTAGAGGTGAGCTGTTGGCACATCGCCCAGCCCTGTGGCTCATATGTTGGAATGTTGATGCTGGTGGGGCTGGGCGTGAGATATGAGCCCAGATACAAGCTCAGATGTGTTCTGTGGGAGGAATCCCAGAGTTGAAGGAAGCCCTGCCTGGAGGTGAATTCTCTCCTGATGCTACTGCAAGTTCCCAGGGAAATGGCACACCAGGGAGGACTCTAGTGCTTTAGAGATGCAAGTTTGAGTGAAGCTCCTTTCCTAATGATCCTTAGGTCATATCACTCATTCCTCTTGAATGAGTGATATGACCTAAGAGGAGATGTAGGTAGGTTTCCAATGGTCAAATCTACCTTCATTATATGCTTGGGAATGAGTGGTCTCATTTGGTCCCTGTTGGGAAAACGGTGATTCAGAAGAGACCAGGTAGTTGGGAGGGAGGGAATGTTGACCAGAAGGTTGAGCTGGTGCTGGAAAGTCAGCAGGAGCTGCAATGTGGGGTCTCAAGGGTCATGTCTCAGACAAAGCTAGAGGACAGTCAGGGCAGCATTATAAAAGGCAAACCCATGAGAATGTGGGAGGTTTCACTGGTCGTGTTGGCTCATCCATTTAGTCACCTTTTCCATCCCAGACCTCATCAAATGTTCCAAGGAAAATCCAGTGTGAGGCATAAGGCTCAGATTGTGTCTAATCTATTAGGGCATCTCCATGCACCTGCTGAAGCTCATGTGGCTTCTCTTCCCCAGTAGAGTCCCTGGCCACAGCCAAGTGAGATAGTCTGCTAATCTCAAATTCGGAAAATGTCAGCAGGGAACAAAATGACAGGAGAAATCATAATCACTTACAAAGGCTTATTTCTTCTCTGAACATTGGGTTGTTTGTTCTTTAGTTCTTCCATAGTTTTCTAATGTATTATGAGCATGATTTTTTATTTTTTTAAATTTTATTTCAGCATGTTATTGTGGTACAAATGTTTAGGTTACATATATTGCCTTTGCTCCACCTGAGTCTGAGCTTCAAGTATGTCCATCCCCCACATGGCGCACATCGCACCAATTAGGGGTGAATATATCCATCCCTTCTTCAGCTCTCCCATCTGCCCGACACCTGATGAATGTTATTACTATACATTCACTTAAGTGCTGATCAGTTAAAACCAATTTGATGGTGAGTATATGCAGTGCTTGTTTTTCCATTCTTGGGATAATTCTCTTAGTAGAGTGGGCTCCAGCTCTATCCAGACTAATATAAGAGGGACGATATCACCGTTGTTTTTCATGGCTGAGTAGATCTCCATGGTATACACATACCCCATTTTATTATTCCACTCATGTATTGATGGGCATTTGGGTTGTTTCCACATCTTTGCAATTGTGAATTTTTTGCTATAAACATTCGAGTGCAGGTGTCTTTTTATAGAATGTGTTCTGCTCTTTTGGATAGATGCCCAGTAGTGGGATTCCTGGATCAAATGGTAGTTCTACATGTATCTCTTTAAGGTATCTCCATATTGCTTTCCACAGAGTTTGCACTGGTTTGCAGTCCCAACAGCAGGGAAGGGACTGTTCCTCTCTCTCCGCATCCACGCCAACATTTATTGTTTTGGGACTTTTTTGATAAAGGCCATTCTCACTGGTGATAAGTGATCTCTCATTTTGGTTTTGATTTGCAGCTCCCTGAGGATTAGAGATGTTGAGCATTTTTTCATATGTTTGTTGGCCATTAGTCTATCCTCTTTTGAGAAGTTTCTGTTGATGTCCTTTCTCCACTTTTTGATAGGGTTGTTTGCTGATTTTCCTGAGTTCTATATAGATTCTATTTCTCAGCCCTTTATCAGATGTGTAAGGCAAGATCTCAGTCCATATAGGACAGAGTTGGCCAGGGCATGACTGCAGGAAGGGGACTTAATACAGTTAACTTTGCAAATTTAACACATAATCACTTATCTTTTGCTGAGAAATATTTACCCTGGGAAAATGGGAGCGTTTTTAAAGACAAAGTTTCTAGTTTGTACCTTCATTCAGTCTAGTGTCCCGCTTTATACCCAAG